CTTATCTATATTTAATTTATCTATACATATTATATATACTTACTATACTTTATTTATCGATACATATTTATATATTTCTTTTTCTATAGTCTATATTTATCTATACATATTTAATATTACTTTTCATATTATATTTATCTAACATTTATATATACTTATCTATATCTATATTTATCTATACATTTTTAAAATATACTTATCTTTTTTATATTTATCTATACATATTTATATATACTTATCTATTTTTAATTTATCTATACAATTATATATACTTACTTTTCTATATTTATCTATACATATTTATATATACTTATCTATATCTATATTTTTTCTATACATTTAAAATTTTTTATATACTTATCTATATCTATATTTATCTATACATATTTATAATACTTATCTATATTTTATATTTTCTTACATATTTATATATACTTATCTATTTTAATTTTCTTATACATATTTTAAAATATATCTATTTTTAATTTTTCTATACAATTTATATATACTTTCTTTTTAATTTATTTTAAAAAATTTATAATACTTATTATTTTTAATTTATCTATACATATTTTATGGGTACTTATCTATTTTTACATTTATCTTTTACATATTATATATACTTATCTATTTTTACATTTATCGATACATATTTATATATACTTATCTAGTTATACATTTATCTATACAGGAGTAATGATGACTCATAAAAAGAATACACCGCCTTTCGACCCGTATTCTTGTCATATTCTCTAACTCATTAAAAACCTTCTCTTACTCCTAATCCCTTTCTCCTGTTCCTTCTTTCTTCCGTTCTTTCTTCCTTGTCTTCTTTCTTCTTTCTTTGCTTTCTATTCTTTCTTTACTTTTTTTCTTTCTTGCTTTCTTTCTCTTTGCCTTCCTTCCTTGCCTTCCTTCGTTCTTATCTGCTCATTCTCAATCTTACCCAACAACAAATATAAACATCTTACCTCCCTTTTCTAAATCTTTAATCACCATTTGTCTCTCTCTCTCTTCTACTCTCTCTCCTCTCTCTCTCTCTCTCTCCTCTTCGCCACCCCATTACACCCCACACCGCCACCCCCCTCCCCCTTTAACTCCCACACTCTCCAGAACCCCCGCCCCCGGGCCCAAGCACCAAATCAACACCCCCGCCCCCATGGCAACGCACCAGAGAATAACCACCACACCCGGCAAGCACCTCAAGAGCTAACACCAGCACCCTGGCATAGCACTCTAGAGAATAACACCAGCACCCTGGTATAGCACTCTAGAGAATAACACCAGCACCCTGGCATAGCACTCTAGAGAATAACACCAGCACCCTGGCATAGCACTCTATAGAATAACACCAGCACCCTGGCATAGCACTCTAGAGAATAACACCAGCACCCTGGTATAGCACTCTAGAGAATAACACCAGCACCCTGGTATAGCACTCTAGAGAATAACACCTTGGTCCAGCACACAGCACTCCTGTCATATCACAAGTGTTGATAATATCACTTCAACTAACGCTAGACACATATTGACATGACAGAGGCGTCTCAGATCCAGTGTTCCTCAAATATCTGTTAACTCGGTCTTAAAAGACTTGGTGCCTGTGTCTCAAGATTGTAGTAGGAGTCGAGGAAGACTCTGCGTGGGAGGGACAGGTGGGAGTAGTGTGGCTGGTACACAGCACTCCTTGGGTGACTGGCACTCCCAGATGCACTTTCAAACACGCTTGTTGGATGATTGGCACACGCAAACACACTCCTTCAGTGACTGGCACTCACAAACACACTCGTTGGATGACTGGCACTCACAAACACACTCCTTCAGTGATTGGCTCTCACAAACACACTCGTTGGATGACTGGCACTCACAAACACACTCCTTCAGTGACTGGCACTCACAAACACACTCGTTGGATGACTGGCACTCACAAACACACTCCTTCAGTGATTGGCTCTCACAAACACACTCGTTGGATGACTGGCACTCACAAACACACTCGTTGGATGACTGGCACTCACAAACACACTCGTTGGATGACTGGCACTCACAAACACACTCCTTCAGTGACTGGCACTCACAAACACACTCCTTCAGTGACTGGCACTCACAAACACACTCCTTCAGTGACTGGCACTCACAAACACACTCGTTGGATGACTGGCACTCACAAACACACTCGTTGGATGACTGGCTCTCACAAACACACTCGTTGGATGACTGGCACTCACAAACACACTCCTTCAGTGACTGGCACTCACAAACACACTCGTTGGATGACTGGCACTCACAAACACACTCCTTCAGTGATTGGCTCTCACAAACACACTCGTTGGATGACTGGCACTCACAAACACACTCCTTCAGTGATTGGCTCTCACAAACACACTCGTTGGATGACTGGCACTCACAAACACACTCCTTCAGTGATTGGCTCTCACAAACACACTCGTTGGATGACTGGCACTCACAAACACACTCCTTCAGTGATTGGCTCTCACAAACACACTCGTTGGATGACTGGCACTCACAAACACACTCCTTCAGTGATTGGCACTCACAAACACACTCGTTCACTGATTGGCACACGCTGACGCACTCACACACACACACTCACTCACACAAGTGGCTACTAGAGTTCAACCCCCCCAACGAATATAAACGCAGGCAACAATGAGGAATACTTTCACAAGCCAGCACTAATAGTCAAGTGAGTCAAGGAGGACAGAATTACACTGATCAGTGTATTATTACATCACATCCAAAATAAAGACAGAGAGAGTTATTGAGGCGAAATAAAACTTAATGACTTAATGAAGACCTGATAACCTGTGTTGAACTGATAACAGGTTCAAGACCTTCTGATAACCTGTGTTGAACTGATAACAGGTTCAAGACCTTCTGACAACCTGTGTTGAACTGATAACAGGTTCAAGACCTCCTGATAACCTGTGTTGAACTGATAACAGGTTCAAACCTCCTGAAACCTTTTAATGATAACGGTTCAAGCCCTTCGAAAAAACTGTGTTAAAACTGAAAAAAGGGTTAAAACCCTCCTGAAAACCCTGTGTTGAACTGATAACAGGTTAAAGCCCCTTCTGATAACCTGTTTAACTATAACGGGTTTCAAGCCCTTGATAACCTGTGTTAACTGATAACAGGTTTCAAGACCTTTGAAACCTGTTTAAACTAAAAACAGGTTCAAGACCTTCTGACAACCTCGTGTTAATGATAACATTTTCAAGCCTCCTGATAACCTGGTTGAACTGTAACAGGTTCAAGCCCTTTTTAAAACCTCAGGTTGAACTGTAACAGGTTCAAGACCCCCTGAAAACCCTGTGTTGAATGATAACGGTTTTAAAGACCTCCTGAAAACCCTGTTTTAAAAAGAAAAACGGGTTAAAGCCCTTTGAAAACCGGGTTTTTGAACGATAACGGTTCAAGCCCCCTGATAACCTGTGTTGAACTGATAACGGGTTTCAAGCCCTTTCTGATAACCTGTTGAACTGATAACAGTTCAAGCCCTCCTGAAACCGTGTTGAACTGAAAAAGGGTTCAAGACCTCCTGATAACCTGTGTTGAATGATAAAGGGTTAAAGACTCCTGAAAACCTGTTGAACTGTAACGGGTTCAAGACTTTTAAAAAAACCTGTGTTGAACTGAAAACAGGTTCAAGCCCTCCTGTAACCTCAGTTTGAACTGATAAAGCCACTTGTCAAAAGTCTTCAGACTTTTTACCCCACAGGTTCCTTTAAAAATGAGCATTACTCCGGGTCCGAAGGAGTGCACCCTCTCTTCCCCAAACTTAAACTCCCCAGCCCCCACCTGACTCCTCACCTGGACGATGGGGATAAAGGCGAGTCAGTACACATTTTAAAGAAAGGTACATGGACCAAAGAAGATATGGGACTGTGTGCTCAGTAGGGGCCATTTGATGAGGGGGGCCAGGAGCTGGGACTCGACCCCTGAAACCCCAAACGGTGAATATAAATAGGAATATTCTTCTCTCTTTCTCTCCCCCTCCACCACACACACACCACCACACACACACACACACACACACACACCCACACACACACAACATTCCAAATTTGACCAACTTTCACTTTACAAATGCCCACTTCAAGCACAGCGGCGTGGGCGTGGGCGGTGGGTTCCCCGTGGGCCTGTGCTCCCCCCGGGGACACAACACCCCCAGGAGCGCAAAACCCCATTGTGGGGGCCAGCAACAACCTTTCCCACAGCCCCTGGCTCACTCTTCCACGCCCACTCATCCCTCTGGGTAACCGTGTTTTCAAGGGTATGTGGGCGCCCACCCCCGGGTGTACCACAGGGTGTGTGGGCCCCCACACCCAGTTACCACATTACTGTACCGGGGGAGGTACGCTCTCCCCGGGAGTGATTACAGTGTACCTCAGGCGCACAACCTGTAGAAATCTGACGCACATACCATAGATACTACCAAAACTGACGCACAAACCCGACCTAAAATTTCTACGCAGCACGACACCGACGCAGCTGAAGGAATTTATTTCAAGGAGCTTGATTACATTCGCTCAAAGAGGAACGAATGTTGATAGGTGCTAAGAGATGGGGGTCGGGGTGTGCAGAGCACTTTAAGTGAGGTCGGGTTGTGCAGCTAGCACAGTTAGTGGGTCATGTTTTGCAGTAGCACAGTTAGTGGGTCAGGTTGTCGCTAGCACAGTTAGTGAGGTCAGTGTGTGCAGCTAGCACAGTTGTGAGGTGGGGTGTGTCAGCTAGCACGTTAGTGAGGTGGTTTGTGCCCACACAGTTAGTGGGTCAGGTGTGTCCCAGCTAGCACAGTTAGTGGGGTCAGGTGTGGCAGCTAGCACAGTTAGGAGGTCAGGTGTGTGCAGCTAGCCATTATGAGGTCAGGTGTGTGCAGTGCACATTTTAGTGAGGTAGATGTGTGCAGCCGCACGTTAGTGAGGTCAGGGTGTGCACCCAGCACATTTAGTGAGGTCAATTGTGCAGCCGCCATTATGGGGCAGGTGTTGCAGCCACACAGTTGTAGGTCAGATTGTGCAGCCAGCAAGTTAGTGAGTCAGATGTGTGCGCCAGCCAGTTATGAGGTCAATGTGTCACCCAGCCAGTTGTGAGGTCAGATGTGTGCACCAGCCATTTAGTGGGGTCAGATGTGTGCACCAGCAAGTTAGTGAGGTAGGTGTGTGCACCAGCACAGTTAGTGGGTCGGGTGTGTGCAGCCAGCCAGTTATGAGGTCAGGTGTTGCAGCCATCCCAGTTTGGGGTTTCGGTGTGTCCCGCAGACAGTTAGTGAGGTCAGATGTGTGCAGCCACACAGTTAGTGAGGCAGATGTGTCAGCCAGACTTTTAGTGATGTAGGGTGTGCAGCCCACAGTTAGTGAGGTCAAAGTGTGCACCCCAGCACAGTTAGTGAGGGTCAGGGTGTGCAGCCAGCACATTTATGGGGTCAGATTGTGCAGCCAGCAAGTTGTGAGGTCAGGTGTGGACCCAACAGTTAGTGAGGCGTTTGGGTGCAGCCGCAAGTTGGGGGTAGGTGGTGCAGCCAGCACAGTTGTGAGTCAGATGGTGCACCAGCACAGTTAGTGGGTAGTGTGTCACCACCGTTAGTGAGGTCAATTGTGCAGCCAGCACGTAGTGAGGTCAGATGGTCAGCCGCACAGTTAGTGAGGGTCGTGTGTGCAGCAGCACAGTTAGTGGGGTCAATGTGTGCAGCCAGCACAGTTAGTGAGGTCAGGTTGTGGCCACCCCAGTTAGTGATGTCAGGTGCCACAGTAGGTTGTGACAGGGAAACCCACAACAACACCAGGCGAACACAGATCACAATGCAGCCAAAACAGGTCAGGTCAAAAGGGTTTTCGTGAAGGTCAGAAAGTCAGAGCATACTGGGACGAAGACCAGGAAAGCTACGTCTATTAAGGGTAAGCCACGAAAACGTCGGGCCGTGGGATCCCCCTGAGGATCAATCCCTATTTCCCAAAATACAACGCTCTACGGTAATTTATACATTTATCCCAAAATAAATTATTTAAATTTAAAAGTGGGAAAAATAAGTAATAGAATTATACCTGGATAGCCGACGATAAAGGGGGAAAAGTGTTAAAGGGAAAAAGACGTAGGTTCCTCGTGAAGTCTAACAGTACTAGGGTTTCCCCGTGAAATCTAAAGTAAAATGGGTTCCTCGTGAAGTCAACAGTATAGGTTCCTCGTGAAGTCTAACAGTAAAGTGGGTTCCCCGTGAAATCTAACATACTGGGTTCCTCGTGAAGTCTAACAGTACGTAGGTTCCTCATGAAGTCTAACAGTACGTGGGTTCCTCGTGAAGTCTAACAGTACGTAGGTTCCTCGTGAAGTCTAACAGTACGTAGGTTCCTCGTGAAGTCTAACAGTACGTAGGTTCCTCGTGAAGTCTAACAGTACGTAGGTTCCTCAGAAGTCTAACATCGTAGGTTCCTCGTGAAATCTAACGTACTAGTTCCCCGTGAAGTCTAAAAGTACGAGGGTTTCCTCGTGAATTTTAACACACTAGGTTTCCCGTGAAGCTAACATACGTGGGTTCCTCGTGAAGTCTAACATACGTAGGTTCCTCGTAAGTCTAAAATACGTGGGTTCCTCGTTAAAATCTAACAGTACTAGGGTTTCCCCATGAAGTCTAACATACGTGGTTTCCCCCCGTGAATCTAAAGTACGTAGGTTCCTCGTGAAATTAACATACGTGGGGCCTCGTGAAGTCAACAGTACGTAGGGTTTTCATGAAGCTAACGTACGTAGGTTTTCCCCGTGAAATCTAACAGTACGTAGGTTCCCGTGAAGTCTAACAGTACTAGGTTCCTCGTGAAGGGCTAAAAGTACGTAGGTTCCCCGGAAGTCTAACAGTACGTAGGTTCCCCGTGAAGTCAAAAAACGAGGTTCCCCGTGAAGTTTAAAATACGTAGGGTTTCCCCGTGAAATCTAAAAGTACGTAGGTTCCTCGTGAGTCTAACATACGTAGGTTTTTTCGTGAAGCCCCAACATACGTAGGTTCCTCGTGAAATAAAAGAGTGGGTTTCCCCTGAAGTCTAACAGTACGTAGGTTCCTCGTGAAGTTAACAGTGTAGGTTCCTCGGAAGTCTACAGTACGTGGTTCCTCGGGAGTCTAACAGACGTAGGTTCCCGTGAAGTCTAACAGTACGTAGGTTCCTCGTGAAATCTAACAGTACGGGTTCCCGTGAAGTCTAACATACGTGGGGTTCCCCCCGTGAAGTCAACAGTACGTGGTTTCCCCGTGAAGCTAACAGTAAGTGGTTCCTGTGAATCTAACGTACGTGGTTCCTCGGAAGTCTAACAGTACGTAGGTTTCCCCGTGAAGCTAAAAAGTACGTAGGTTCCCTCGTAAGCTAAAGTACGTGGTTCCTCGTGAAGTCTAACATACGTGGGGCCCGTGAATCTAACAGTACGTAGGTTCCTCATAAGTTAACTACGTAGGTTCCTCTGAAATCTAACAGTACGTAGTTCCCCTGGTCTAAATACGTAGGTTCCTCGTGAAGTCTAACAGTACGTAGGTTCCTCGTGAAGTCTAACAGTACGTAGGTTCCTCGTGAAGTCTAACAGTACGTGGGTTCCTCGTGAAGTCTAACAGAAAAGAGGTTCCCCATGAAGCTAACAGTTCTAGGTTCCTCGTGAAGTCTAACAGACGTAGGTTTCCCCTGAAGTCTAAAAAGTACGTAGGGTTTCCCTTTAAGCTAACAGTACGTAGGGTTTCCCGTGAAGTCTAAAAGTACTAGGGTTCCCCGTGAAGTCAAAAAGTACGGGGTTTTTCCCCGTGAAGTCCAACTCTAGGTTTTCCCATGGTCTAACAGTACGTAGGTTCCTCGTGAAGTCTAACAGTACGTAGGTTCCTCGTGAAGTCTAACAGTACGTAGGTTCCTCGTGAAGTCTAACAGTACGTAGGTTCCTCGTGAAGTCTAACAGTACTAGGTTCCCCGGAAGTCTAAAAGTACGTGGGTTCCTGTGAAGTCAACATACGTAGGTTCCTCATAAGTCAACATCGTAGGTTCCTCGGAAGTCAACATTTCGTAGGTTCCTCGTGAAATCTAACAGTACGTAGGGCCCCGGAAGTCTAAAAGACGTAGGTTCCTCGGAAATCTAAAAGTACGTAGGCCTCGTGAAGTCAAAAATACGTGGGTTCCCGTGAAGTCTAACAGTCGAGGTTTCCCCAAAGAAGTCTAACTACTAGTTCCCGTGAAGTCTAACAGTACTTTGGTTCCTCGTGAAGTCTAAAATACGTAGGTTCCTCGGAAATCTAACAGTACTGGGGTTTCCCCTGAAAGTCAACATATAGGGTTTCCCCATGAATCTAACATACGTAGGTTCCTCGTGAAGTTAAAATAGTGGGTTCCCGAGGTCTAACAGTACGTAGGTTCCACATGAAGTCTAACAGTAGTAGTTCCCGTGAAGTCAAAAGTACTAGTTTCCCGGAAGTCTAACAGTACGTAGGTTTTCCCCATGAAGTTAACAGAGTGGGGTTTTTCCCCGTGAAGTCTAACATACGTGTTCCTCTGAAGTCTAACGTTAGGTTTTTTTCGTGAAGTCTAACGTATAGGTTTCCCCATGAAGCTACAGTACGTGGGTTCCCCATGAAAACTAAAAGTACGTAGGTTCCTCATGAAATCTAACAGTACGTAGGTTCCTCGTGAATCAACGTACGTAGTTTCCCCGTGAAGTCTAAAAGTAGTAGGTTTCCCCGTGAAGTCTAACGTACGTGGGTTTCCCGTGAAGTCTAACAGACGTGGGTTTCCTCATGAATCTAACAGACGTGGGTTTCCTGTGAATCTAACATACTAGTTCCCCGTGAAGCTAACAGTACGTGGGTTTCCCCTGAAGTCAACATCTAGGTTTCCCCATGAAGTCTAACAGTACGTGGGTTCCTCATGAAATCTAACAGTCTAGGGTTCCTCAGAAGTCTAAAAGTCTAGGTTCCTGTGAATCTAACAGTACGAGGTTCCTGTGAAGTCTAACATAGTAGGGTTTTCGTGAAGTCTAACAGTCGAGGTTCCTCGTGAAGTCTAACATTTCTAGGGTTTCCCTGAAGTTAACAGTACGTAGGTTCCCCCGTGGGGTCTAAAATACGTAGGTTTTCCCCAGAAGTCTAACAGTACGTAGGTTCCTCGTGAAGTCTAACAGTACGTAGGTTCCTCATGAAGTCTAACAGTACGTAGGTTCCTCGTGAAGTCTAACAGTACGTAGGTTCCTCGTGAAGTCTAACAGTACGTAGGTTCCTCATAAGTCTAACATACTGGGGTTCCTCGTGAAGTCTAACATACGTAGGTTCCCCGTAATCTAACAGTCGTATTCCCCGTGAAGTCTAACAGTAAAAGGTTCCTCATGAAGTCAAAAATAGTGGGTTTCCTCATGAAACTAACAGTCTAGGTTCCCCATAATCTAACAGTACAGGTTCCTCGTGAAGTCAACGTACGTAGGGTTTCCTGGAAATCAACAGACGAGGTTCCCGTGAAGTCTAAAGTAGTAGGTTCCTCTGAAGTCTAACAGTACGTAGGTTCCTGTGAATCTAAAGTAGTAGGTTCCTCATGAAGTCTAACAGTACGTAGGTTCCTCGTGAAGTCTAACAGTACGTAGGTTCCTCGTGAAGTCTAACAGTACGTAGGTTCCTCATGAAGTTTAAAATAGTAGGTTCCTCATGAAGTCTAAAAGACGTAGGGTTCCCCATGAAGTCTAACACACGTAGGTTCCTCATGAAAACTAACAGCACGTAGGTTCCTCATGAAGTCTAACAGTACGTAGGTTCCTCATGAAGTCTAACAGTACGTAGGTTCCTCATGAAGTCTAACAGTACGTAGGTTCCTCATGAAGTCAACATACTAGGTTTTCCCCAGAAGTCTAACTAGTAGGGTTCCTATGAAGTTAACAGTAGGGGTTCCCGAAGTCTAACATACGTAGGTTCCTCATGAAGTCTAACAGTACGTAGGTTCCTCATGAAGTCTAACAGTACGTAGGTTCCTTATGAAGTCTAACAGTACGTAGGTTCCTCATGAAGTCTAAAATACGTAGGTTTCATGAAGTCAACATACGTTGGTTTTCCCCATGAAGTCTAACAGTACGTAGGTTCCTCCCTGAAGTTTAAAAACTAGTTCCTCATGAAGTCTAACATCTGGTTCCTCATGAAGTCTAAAAGTACGTAGGTTCCCAGAATCTAAAAGTACGTAGGGTTTTCCCCATGAAGCTAACATACAGGTTCCTCAGAAGTCAACAGTACGTAGGTTCCTCATGAAGTCTAACAGTACGTAGGTTCCTCATGAAGTCTAACAGTACGTAGGTTCCTCATGAAGTCTAACAGTACGTAGGTTCCTCATGAAGTCTAACAGTACGTAGGTTCCTCATTAAGTCTAACATTCTCTACTCCCCAGTGTCTAGTTACTTTAAGAACAGATTAAGGTGTGTTAAATAAGGGTAGGTGGTAGGTGTGGAGAAGGAGCGCCCTTGACGCTACTCCACTTACTATTTTCAGTGGGGGAATACCGCAGCTTACTCGCTCACCACACCACCACCACCACTACAACCACCACCACCACTGCCACTACCACCACCACCACCACCACCGCTGCCATCACCACCGCCACCACCACCACGCCAGGGACCACCTACCCACACCAGCAGCTGGGAGTTGGGGGGAGGTCCCCCCCCCAAACCACCACCACCCCCTCTCCACCACCCCCCCACCACCACCCCACCCCCACCTTCCCCCCAGCCCCCACCCCCACCACCACCCCCACCAGCCCCCACCAAACACCACCCCCCCAGCAACAACCACCAACAGTGTTGGACGCTAAGAAGAACCATCTCTCAGCCTGACTCCCAAATCCAGGCTGAAGGTAAGTGTTAAAAAGGGTATCTTGTAAGGTGGGGAAAGTTTTAAGTGTGGAAGTTTAAGTGTGGGAGGATTTTTAAATTTTGGGGGATTTGTAAGTGGGGAGGATGTTGTAAGTGTGGAGGATTTGAAGTGGGGGGGGATGTTGTAAGTGTGGGGGGATTTGTAATTGGGAGGATTTTAAATGTGGGAGGATTTTGGTAAAGGGGTTGGGTTTCTGTGGGGTTTTGTCAAAGTCAAAAAAGAGGGACATGAAAGGGGGGGACAGAAGGTTGCAATATGAAATGTTACTAGTGAAGCGTACTGTTGGGGGGTTACGAGGCAGAAAACTTATATGAGGACCGTGAGGCTTTTCTTTAAGTATGTAGTATGAAGGAGAATTTTTCCGCAAATAGGCCTTAGACAGGGATGTGTGATGTCCACCCGGTTTTCTAAAATATTTTTGTGAGAAGTGAAAGCTGGGGGGTTTGGGAGAGGGTGGGATTAAGGGATAAATTTAAAAAAAAAGTGGGGGGGTTGTCACATTTTCTTTTCGCTGATGCGCTGTACTTTTGGGAGATTTTGAAAAGAAGTTGCAAAGGGGGTTTATGGACAATTGGCACGAAATTTAAAAGAAAGAAACTAAAATTAAACAGAAAAGAGCAAGGTGATGAGGTAATTAAATACGCAGATAATGAAAAAATGTCGGATTGGAGTGAGGGAAAATGAAGGAAGTAAATGTGTGCAGATATCTGGCAGTGGATGTGTTGACAGATGTGTCCATGAAAGACCAGGTGACCCACAAAATAGATGAAAGGGGAAAATAAATAGGTGGAGTGTTGAGGCATCTCCGTAGAGAAAGTTTATGATGATAAGAAGAGATGCACACCAGAGCATCGTGGTACCAACATTTTCATATAGGTGTGAGTAATGGGCTTTAAATGTTGCAGCGAGGCTGCTGGAAGTAGCGGAGATGTCACTGAGAGCATCGGTGGGTGAAAATTGCCAGGAATCAGACTGAAATTACTATACGGATTGGGTTACCAAAGTTCATTCAGAAAACGAAGTTTGTTAGAGACATGGAGCAGAAAAGGAGTTCCAAACGGAATAAATAATGGGAGCTTTGTCCTTCTTAAAAAAAGAAAAAGACTGGGGGAGAAAAGAGGTTTTTAAACTGCGAGGGGCTTGAGCATGTAGCAGGCTGTGGTGTTAAACGGAGTAAGTGGAACAAGTATTTTTTTAAAATTTGACGTGCTGTTGGAGTGTTGCAAAAGGAAATTTACAAAAACATGTTACAAACTTGTTTTTTAAAATAATTATTATAATATTCAATAAAGCCTGCGAGAAAAGGGAAGGCGGAGGAAGAGGAAGGGAGGTGACGAAGCCGAAGAGGAGGAAGAGGAGGAGGAGGAGGGAGGTACATCCTCTGGTAAGAAGAGGAAGAGAAGGATTCTCTTCAGTAAGTCTCAGACCTACGAACTAGAGAGAAGGTTCCGGCAGCAGCGGTACCTCTCAGCACCAGAGAGGGAACACCTGGCCTCTCTTATCAACCTCACGCCCACACAGGTGAGTCAGGGCCACGGGCGTGCCCGCGCCCATCACTACCTGCTTCACTATCACTCAACTGAAATTTTTACCTGATTTACAAATCTTTGCATTTATCTGATTTACAACCCTTGGATTAACATTTACACGATTTACAATTAGTTAATTTGCATTTACATGATTTACAAACATTAACATTTACATAATTTACAAACATTAACATTTACATAATTTACAAACATTAACATTTACATGATTTACAAACATTAACATTTACATAATTTACAAACATTAACATTTACATAATTTACAAACATTAACATTTACATGATTTACAAACATTAACATTTACATAATTTACAAACATTAACATTTACATGATTTACAAACATTAACATTTACATAATTTACAAACATTAACATTTACATAATTTACAAACATTAACATTTACATGATTTACAAACATTAACATTTACATAATTTACAAACATTAACATTTACATAATTTACAAAAATTAACATAATTTACAAACATTAACATAACTTACAAAAATTAACATAATTTACAATCAAAGGATTGACATTCACATGATTTACAATCCATAACGTGATTTACAATCCTTGTGATTTACAGGGTTGAATTAACGTGATTTACGGCCACCGGATTTACATTTACAAAGGTGCAGGAGTAACTGTGGATGTTTGTTCCACAGGTGAAGATCTGGTTCCAGAACCACCGGTACAAGACCAAGAAGCAGCGGGCGGACCGGGGCACAGGTATGGACCTGACGCCCATGACGTCCCCTCGCCGAGTCCCTGTACCGGTTCTTGTCAGGGACGGTAAACCTGTCCCGCCCACCCACCACCACCACGCCCACCACCAGTTCAACACCTCCACGCCTGGCCTCTTCTCCCCGCCCACGCCCTACACGCCGCCCTTCCTCGACGTGGGCGGCTATTACCACCAGGCGGCCGCCCACATGAGGGGTATGACCACCACCTCCGCCCACTCTGGCTACCCCATGACGGCGCCCACAGTGTACTCCTCACCAGGCTTCCAGCCTACCCAGTTCACCACCCACGCCCTCACGCCCGCACCCACGCCTGCAGCTACGCTTCACTATGCCGCCCCTACGCCCATACCAGATGCGTCAGAGTCTGACCTCACGCCCACGCACTTCCAAACCTCAAGTTTCCCCTATCAAACCTAAATATATATATATATATATATATATATATATATATATATATATATATATATATATATATATATATATATATATATATATATGCAAAACAACCACTCTGAAAGAATAGAGAAATTCCAAGCGCTTTCGTGACTACTCACATTATCAAGGAACTATGAAAGTAAAGCATCCAAGGAAGCTATATAAGGGGTCTGGTCGGCACCTCACTATCAGATCCCACAACGGTTTAAACACGTGACGCGCGGCGAGCCAACTTGGAAAGGTCCTTGGCACAACTCACCCCACAAACTATTCTACCCAAGAAATAAGAAATTTTAAAGATTATTTGTCCAGTCTTATGCCCAAAAATGTAGATATACACCATTTTCTTGGAAAATTAAATAGCTTAGCCCATTCAATAAACTTTACTGTTAAGTTTGAGGAAAATAACTCATTGCCTTTTCTAAATGTTTTAATTATTAAGGGTAATAATGAATTCAAATTTAAAATTTACAGAAAACCTACAAATAACTGTTCCTATGTCCACTATTATTCCTCGCATCAAGATAGAGTCAAACTGTCTGTTTTCTCATCAATGTTTTTGAGAACTTTACGAATTTGTAGTCCTGAGTTCATAGATGAGGAAATATCCAAAATTTATGAAATAGGTAATGATTTAAAATACCCAAGAAATGTAATTGATAAATCTTTTAAAGTTGCTAGAAATACTTTTTACAATCCAAAAAGGGATAACCAGCCTTATTCAACTAAAAATATGTTGATTCTCCCTTACCATGAAAACTTGGTTGATATGCCTTCTCTTCTTAAGACTTTTAATATTAAAGTTGTATTAAAAAATCTTGATACAGTAAAAAAACTTTTGATAAAGAATTCCCCCCAAAATGCTGATGGATGTGTCTATAAGATTCCTTGTAAAATTTGCGATAAAGTTTATTACTGTCAAACTGGTAAAAATCTCGAACTAAGATTAAAACAACATAAATATAGCATTAGAACTGGACAAGATTCCAATGCTCTATTTATTCATGTAAGAGATTTTAACCATCCAATTGATTTTCAAAAAGTTGAGAAAGTAGTATCAAGCAAGTCCATGGTCGACAGGAATATAATTGAATCTTGTTTCATAAAAAGCAGTTTTGACAATAATATGAATATTTCCTTTGGTTTATATAAATTAGATCCATTTATAATTAATAGAATTTGGGAAGAATTTAATAATACACTGGACAAATAATCTTTAAAATTTCTTATTTCTTGGGTAGAATAGTTAGTGGGGTGAGTTGTGCCAAGGACCTTTCCAAGTTGGCTCGCCGCGCGTCACGTGTTTAAACCGTTGTGGGATCTGATAGTGAGGTGCCGACCAGACCCCTTATATAGCTTCCTTGGATGCTTTACTTTCATAG